ATTATCTTGTACATATCGTTTGCTCGCAAAGTCGCGCAAACTATCAGTCGCATATTTTGCGAAACGCTCTTCCACATATTGTTTGGTTGCAACGTCACTATCGGCTTCCGGTTGCGCTACATGTTGTATCTTGCGAGACTTTGCGTCAAAATCTTTAGCCGCGTTTAGACAAAGGGCATTTTCATGTACATAACTTTCAACGTATTCATCCCATCGTTCTACAGGAACAGTTCTGGAACTGTTATTCTTTCGCGATGTTCCAAACTTATCCATCGACATTTCGACACGAGCAGTATCGACTGACTGACTCGTGTCAACGCTGCGCTGCTTAATTTATAATGAGGCCAGCTTCACGGAGTTCTTCGATAATTGATAAAATTTCATTGCCGTGAACATTGTTGCCAGCTTTACGCGAAGCTTCCAGTAATCGTAAACGATCCACCAGCTCGTTGGGATCATCCCAATACGTATAATCGATTTTGTTTTCGTTTAACGTCATCACATCTCGCGATACGGAGAAGCCTTTCCCTACCGCCTTATTGCTCGACATGTGTGATACCAGAGGGCTTATTATATTCTTATACTTGTACCCTTTGTTACCGAGTATAGGATTTAGAGGGTTGTAGCCGCGTCTGTGAGCATTCGTCGCCAGCAGTATACTTTTGTACTTGTGTTTGTCGGCCTCGGTGTACACGGTATCGTCGGGTATTCTCTTGAATATCAGCTCGTAAAGACCCGGTGTTCCCATATATCTTGTTCCATCAATGATTATATTATCGTCTCTGTCCACGTCGATGCGTTTATCACCTAGCGTCGGTTCATCATTATCGAAACGTACCCCGTAAACGTGATCTATAGTTGTATCTTTTCCACCGCTTAACATCGCTCCAAAGTATTGTTGTCCCAGGGGACCAAGGTGATCGCGCAACGTTTGTTGTCCCGCGCGCGTTTGTAACTGATGTCTAATGGATGTCGCGAGCGGCTCATCCGGGGTTTCGAAAACAGTATTCTCATCATCATCAATGGGTAGAGTGTCGTTCGATTCATGCGGTTGCTCGTATAGAGGTGCTTTCTTCGATGTAAGATATATCGGAGAATCGTCTAATCGTATCCGTTTTTTCGGTGAAGGCAATGCGAACGTATCTGAATAATCCCACGACATGTCCAATAATTTCCCACTTTTGTCATGTGCGTCTTTTCTTTTCGGTTTTGATATCGCACTCTTTGCTTCGACGTTCGTACTCACCGATGGTGTCTCAGTTTTAACACCGACGTTACCCTCTACATTAGCGGTACTTTCCGCGATTTGCTTCAGAGGTTCGACCACGGGTTTAAAATGTCTCTCCAATGCAACATCTTCCTCCATCCTACCGGTTTTCAAAGCGTGATACTTCTTGCGAATCGATTTGCTCGTTCTCGCAATCTCCTTCGCTATCTTCTCGCGATCCTTGATGTTCATGCTACTATTGATCATCATTGATGCGCTTTCGTGGATATTGAAGCGACGTTAGAACGGTGTTGGAACGACGTTATATAGTTAGAACGACGTTGAAACGACGTAGGAACGATGTTGGAACGATGTTATCACGTTACAACGATGTTGGAACGACGTTGAAACGATGTTAAAATGACGTTGGAACGATGTTGGAACCACGTTGGAACGATGTTGCCACGTTGAAGTAACAACGACGATTGTACAACTCACAGCGTAGCAAAATCGTTAAATCCTTTCCTATATCGACCATTGTTCATAGAACTGTCCTTATCAATCACTGTAAAGCCATATTTATGTTGCCAACATTCACGACACAATGCATTAAAATCCTCATATGACATGTCAGTGTTCACATGATCGTTGTAAATATGTTTTAAGTTGGTACCATCCTGTTTGAAGAGAATCAGCAGATTTGTGTTGTCGCGTATAAGATGCTTGGGTATCTTTGCATACGTTTGACAGAGATAGAAACAGTCAACGTTCGAATGGCGACCCATAGCAAAGTATTCCTTTATCACATCTTGTTTGTCACATGCAACGTCGTCAAAAATAAAAATAGAATTAGCGAGCGCTTCTGTCGTTGGAATCACGTCGCTGTTATTGGAGAATGTAAAGTAACCAATTTCATCAATCGATGTCAGCAAATTTTCCAAATAGCGATATTTGGGCTGTTGCAATGATTTCGAGTACACATACAAGTTCTCGAAACGTGGACCGTGTGGACTTTCCAGCAAACTTATCAACACGTTTGTCTTGCCGCAGTTCGAAGGGCCGCATATGATTCCACGAATCGTGTTTGGAAGCATGTTTCCATGTCGGCGTGTCTCTTGATCGAACATTGATTGCGTTCTATCATCAAAATTTGTCACGCGTATCGCTGTCGGTTGCTTCAAGAACCGCATGTTTTCTCTGCAAGTTGCGAAGTTGATTTCGTTAACGAGTTGTTCCGATTGAACTATTTATAGGGGTGCATCATATCAAAATTGTTCAGTTTCGAAAATGTTTTTCCTACTGTCGGATACTTGTGACATTCGAAACCTAACCTCCGAACAGTTGAAATACATACCGAAGGTTGTCCTATTGCGTGGGTTTCCGACGCACATTGACGTTTTGTGGGACAGGCTCCCCGAGTATATAAAGGCTGACTCAGAGGTTCAGCAGTATCGCCGGTGTCTGGAACATTATAATCGTCCGTGGGAACGAACGCACATTGACGGTCCAGCACCGTTGATCAGGGACTGCAACGAATGTCGCCGAAGACGACAAAAACAATTGGTAGAGGCCTATTAAATCGTGCGATAAACGCACTTCCTGTCGAGTTGCACATCCCCGGATATAATTTTTGCGGTCCTGGAACTCGCTTGGCAAAACGATTGGCTAGAGGTGATCGAGCCATTAATTCATTGGACGAGGCGTGTCGCGAGCACGACATTGCATATTCTCGGAGTAATAACCTTACCGATAGACACGCGGCGGATAAGATTCTCGCTGTGAAGGCTCAGGAACGCATAACTTCGAAAGATTCGACTCTCGGTGAGAGAGCTGCAGCTACAGCAGTCTGGGCGGCTATGAAAGCAAAGACAAAACTCGGCATGGGTTTGAAAACGAAGGGAAAAAAGACGAAACGAATACTTCCGGTAGCGAAACGTGGTGGTGTTTTACCAGTTCTACCGTTATTGGGAGTAGTCGGTTCGTTGGTTGGAGGAGCAGCGGGGGTTGCAAAGGTTGTGAATGACAACAAGGCTGCTCAACGTCAACTGGAAGAATTAAAACGTCATCATCGTGCCATGGAAGACCGCGTCATGAAAGGTCGAGGAGTCTATCTTGCACCATACAAACGTGGAAAAGGCGTCTCGAAAAAAAAAAAAAAAAAAAACATCGATGAAACTATAAAAATGCCTACCGGAGCAACCACCAACGTTCAATTGGACTACTTGGCGAAGCGCTTGCGTATCCCATTTTTTCGAGGTGTCTTTATGCGTAACGCACTCCCGATGTTACCGCGTATAAACGAAAGCGGTATCATAAATTTGGACGACGCTGAAGGATCTGGTACTCATTGGGTGGCGTACGCAAAGAGAGGAGAACGCGCGATATATTTCGATAGTTTTGGTAATCTTAGACCGCCCAAAGAATTGATTCGATATCTCGAAAGAGATGTAGTGAAAATTGAGTACAATCGCACACCCTATCAACGTTACGAAGAAAGCACTTGCGGACAACTGTGTTTACATTTTCTGCAAACTGTCGATAAAACCTATTTAAATTCCTGATGTTTCGTTGCGAGAACTCTGTATTCGTTTGACAGTTCTCCGAGTATGTCACTGACACTTACGCTGTCGGGCAATAGTAGCACCCTTACGGCGAGCTACTTTCCTGCCATAGATTTGAGCGATGATGATTATGAACTTGGCTTGACCACCTTTGAATCTTATCATACGATACCGAATGTGAACGCATCGAACAATAAATTTTACTTTGGTGACGATGACAGGGAAATTTCAATTCCTGAAGGATCGTACGAATTGCATGCCATAAACGAGTATTTAAGACGTGTAATTTCCCAAGCAACAGTACGTACCAAAAATAATCTATATAGAGATGACAAGGGTGAATATCCTATAATAATTCGTGCCAATCATAATACAATGAAGAGCGAAATAAAATGTGCTTACAGAATAAATTTTAGTAAGCCGAACAATATTGGTTCGCTCTTGGGATTCTCATCGAATCGTATATTAGCACCGCAACAATGGTATGAATCGGATGCACCGATTAAGATTATGAACGTGAATATTATTCGTGTAGAATGCAGCGTCGTCAGTGGTGCATACAGCAACGGTACCCGTGTACATACGATACATGAATTCTCACCTAACGTGTCACCAGGATATAAGATATCGGAAACGCCGGCACATGTCATTTATCTTCCAATCATCGCACGAAGCATTACAGATTTAATGGTGCGTATCGTCGATCAAGAAGGGCGATTGCTCGATTTTCGAAAAGAAGAGATTACCATCAGACTGCACGTGCGACGGCGACTACAACGTTAACACGAATTCTATATTTTTTTTTTGGAAAGCGCGTGAGATGCTCGTACTGAATGAAACGGATCAAGTGACACAGAGAGAACATTTCATCGCACCGAAGACGGCTCCAAACAATACTCGCAGTTGTATAAAACAAAAACTCAGCGCGACGAATATTGAATTTCTTAAATCTCTAGGATACATCGTACGAAACAATTGAAAAAAGATGATTGACATTTTGAACATTGGAGGTAGTCCGGTCTTTGACGATCGCATCGTCAAAATCGAAACACACACGTACAATCCATACGCTAACACAGCGTTTCGGCACAGCGATGAGATACGAATACCTATACAACAGCAAGACTTGTACACGTTACCGTGTGAGAGTTATCTCTATGTCGAGGGGAAGATAACGGAACAAGCGAAAGCCGATGATGTGACTGTAACATTGGGACGTAATTGCGTTGCATTTATGTTTGATGAGATTCGTTACGAACTGGATGGTACAGAGATTGATCGTAACAGAAACGT